TCAGTGATCACTGTGTTTCCATTAGAAGTGGGATGACCTTCTCACAAAGGTTATAGAATCATTATTAGAGATCGTCAGAGCTGACTAGGCACTGGATTAATAGGGATTTGGCAGATTTCTATAAAGGGTACTTGAACGCAAAATTCATGGCTAACGCAATGACATTTTTTCCAAACCTCAAAGACTATATATACTCAGAAAGTTTCTGGCTCCAGGATGCTAATATTGGGCATAGTTTCAGGGCACAAGGTTTTCAGGTGAAGCTGAGAAGGCTGAGGCCAGCGTTCAGTGGCACCTGTTTCCTCCTCTCCGGCATCCTGAGAACAGTGTCACATTTAGAAATGGTTTGTTCCAGAAAGTCTCATGGGGAACGAATGTTTTTGTTTTTATTAAGCTTCTACTTGTAGATTCTTCCCTGACTGCCTTTCCTCTCCATCTGATTTGGAAAACATTGCTGTTTCCCTACATTTTTCACATTAAGCTAATAATATGCATCCATTACCGAGTGGGAAGCTGTGCGATCACAGCTTAGAATCAAACCCCAAATACAACAGTCTCTGTGGGGTAACTGAACCCTCACAGGGTAAATCTGCCTTGTGAAAGAGCTAGTTATTGTGTCCTGGGATGTCAATAATACTCACGTGATTATTTAGTGCGTCGTCTCCCCGCCTTGAAATCCAGCGTTTTCCTGGCTGCTCAGATCTAATGAATCCTCAAGCACGTTTCACGAGGTGTTTTGTTTCATTTTGTTTTTCTAACCTAAAACAGAAATCATGCCTTTTCTCTCTGAGGTTGCGTCAGCCAATGACATCAAGTTTCTTTTCTTTGGATCGTAATTCAGTAACTCATTGTGACCACACTGGATGGCTCTTGCTTACACTGGCAATGCAAACTGGGAAAATAAGTCATCGTGACTTAGTAAGTGCAGTATGACAGACAAAACCTCTCCTCCACAAATCTGTTTAATGACCCCTCTCAAAATGAAGGGTAGTCAAATACTCTTAATCCTTCTCTCCTTGGTCACCCTGCATAAATTTATCTTTTGGTACGTTGGTGTTCCCCGATGTGCAAAATAACAGTAGGTATACTGCACTGTACCTACTGGAAGCAGGGACGTGTTACTTATCTCTAAGCTCCCCAGTACCTGTAGTGCATGCTCATTGAGTGATGGAAGTGTATAGAAAAAGAGGACCAGAGATATATACATGTATAAATGTATGTGTATGTATAAAAGTATATTTATATCTGTGTATATCTACCTATGTTTAGAGAGAAAGAGGTTTTTAAGCAATTAGCACGTGATTATGGAGTCTGAGAAGTCCCATAATATGCTGTCTGCAGGCTGGCCTTCCAGGAAGGCTGGCGGTGCAGCCCCAGTGTGAGTCTGAAGGCCTGAGAGCCAGGAGCACCCACGGTGTAAGTCCTGGTCCAAAGGCAGGAGGAGACCCGTGTCCCAGATCCCCAGGCGGGCAGAGAGAGGGGTTCCCCCGTTGTCCACCTAGTTGTTCTCTCAGGCTCATAGTGGATTGGTGCAGCCCACCGTGTTAGGGAGGGCAAGCGGCTTTATTCAGCCTGCTGGTGCACAGGCGGCTCTCTTCCGGAAGCATCTTCACAGACATACCTAGAAATGACATTTGACCAGATATCTGGGCACCTAGTGGCCCAGTCAAGTTGACTTATAAAACTACCATCACAACAAGCAAAAGGAAGAAAAAATGGGTGGAATAGTGAGAGGATTTCTGGGTTTGTCAAACTCCTCATTTCATAAGTACTAAAGTAACAGGGTCTGAAAGAAGTTACCTGCTTGTTAGATAATGCAGCCCATGCCCTGTTCTGTGGGTTTAATACCTTTTTCTTCCTCTTTCATTCTTTGCCCAAGGAGAGAAAGATGGAAGGAGCAGGAGGAGGCTGGGCTAACGTGACAGGCTTCCTTTCAGCTGCAGGGGAGCCTGTGTTTGGTATGACTGAGTGGCCAGGTGAACTGTAGGGGAGGTGTTCTCCTGCTTCTCCTCCCCTTGGGTCTGCCCCGGGCTCAGAGGTCAGGACCATCCCCCTGGTCCCTACCTAGCCTCCGTGTCTACACTGCCCAGTATGGTGGCCATTAGCCACATGTGCAATGGAGCACCTGAGACATGACCGGTCAAGACTGAGATGAACTGTCAGTGCAGAATTCAGCACATTAATACCAAAAAAAAAAAAAAAAAAAAGGAATATCTCATTAATTATTTTTGTATTGATTATCTGTTAAAATAATATTTTGGATATACTGGGTTAAATAAAATATATTAGGAAACTTGCACCTGTTTCTTTTTACCCTTGAAAAAGTGACTATAAGAGCATGTTAAATTGCATCTCTAGCTCCTATTCTGTTTCTTCTGGGTGGTGCTCCTCTAGATCATCCTTGTTAGCACGCTGGCGGCACAGTCCACCCAGGACTGTGACTCACCCCCTACCTGCTGCCTCTACTGGCCTCCGGTTCTCCAGGCTGTGGCTAGTCCCTCCCAAGCCCTTCCCCCACTACCCATCACGGGCAGATCCCCAGGCTTCATTGGGACCTTTTCTGTGCTGTGTAGCTCAGTGCAGGCTGGTAGGCGTCGATCTGAGGGTGGGGTCGGATCCAGCCTTGAGTCTGACTGCCAGTGAGCAGCCATGTACCTTGGGAAGGTTGGAACCTGTCTTTGAATGCTGGATTCCCGTTGTTTAAAATGGGAGTCACACTAATACTCTATCCCTTTCATGAAAAAGAGTACATACAGTTTGCTTTGTAAACAGCACTGTGGCCTATACATGTAATATTACCAGCAATTATGTTTTAGTTTATATATTATTACCATTATCCAACCCCTGCCTCCAGCCCCCTGATATTGGACCAAGTGGTTCCCCTCACTGGGCCTCTGGTTACCTGTAAAACAAGAGGGTGGGCTAGGCATCCCCACAGCTCTATGATGGTACGGTGGGATGAAGGACGCTGTCTTATATAGAACATGAGTTTGGGAAACAGACCACCAAATATGGCCCTTCAAATAGCATACAGCTCTCTTGTCCAGCCTGGGTGGAGGACTAATTGCATTAACAGTCATGATCACAATGAAAAAACTCTTCATAAATACACACTAAAATATTACCCTTAGAATTTAGTTTTCATGTACAACCTTTTTTGAGATAGTAAGCTTCATTTTTACTTTCAGAATGCTTACAACTTTTCACAAGAGTATTCCTACCTGAGAAATGGTGGAACTTGTTATGAACACTCCATGCATAACACAATGAATTTTAATGCTCCCTGGCTTTGAGGGAGGGGAGATCACACTACCCACTTTTGGACACACCCCGAAGGTTGTCTGGCACGTTGGTACAGAAAGGATTTGGTCCAATTTCCTGCTGGCTTAGGATACTGATAGGTACATAAAACTGATGGCTCAAACCCCTCTGGGTAGATGAGCAGAGCATGGGTTCGAGTTCTTGTCTACAGAAGTGGTTGGTCCTGGGTGAATGCTGCTGTGACTCAGGGCAGCTTGAACCCTGAGGCTGGTAGATGATGCTGTGGGGGCCTCATCTGCCCAGCCCACCAACTCTCTGCTCTGGGAACCACAGCTGGGTCTCTTTCTGGGCCCCTCCATGGGGTCACTGGCACAGATGACATTCCTGCTGATGAGGTCTGTGTGGTCCCCCCTCATGGTGCCAGGGTGCCTCATTCAAGTCAGTGCCTCGAGGTGTGGACTGTTGTGCCTTCCCAGACCATGGCTCCCACAGAGTTGGAGTCAAGTAACTGATGAGGGCTGGGAAGAGGGGCTTCCTCTGAAAGTCGTGGTGCTGCTCAGCAGGGAAACGCTCTGGTCCCTGGAGCACCTGCACCCCCACCAGTTTGAAGCCCCACCTTTCCAAGCACTGGATCACATCCCTGAGGAGCCATTGATGCACCCCATGTAGCTTCACCATGACCAGGGTCTGCTCCCTGGTCTAGATGGGCCCCCCCGCCGCCCCCATCTGGGAGCAGGCCCAGCGCTGGGCCCCAGGCCAGTGGCTGAGTGCATAGAGGACAGCATCTAACCAACAGAGGCCCTGGAGGGAGGGAGCGTCAGACAGACCCGTATGACACTTTTCATTTGATGTTTCCATCACACTTTGAACCAAGTATTTCTGTAACACTAGCTTGCAGAAGGCCAAATGGAGGCATCCAGTGTTTCAGTGATGTCCCCTGGGTCATCTGACTGTAAGGTGGGAGCAGGGATTCAAATGCACGCCCCTCACTCTTCCCTATACCTCATGTTTTATCTGAGACAACGAGAAGAGAAACAACTTCCTTCATTAAATATTTGTGGTGTAACTTCCACCTCTTTTCTCTTTTAACATCATGGTCTCTGTGTGGGGATGTCCCTCAAGACTGTCCATGGGGTCCCACCAGTGTGCAGCAGTTTAGCACTTTAAAGCTACAGCTTTTCCTTCCACAAGATCCCTCACTGAAGAGCCTAAATGAACTCTGAGTGTTTCATTGACTTTTCTGATCTTCCAACTTGAGTTAAAAGCATCATTTTGCTTCACTGTCAGTCAATTTCACTTTTGTGAGAATTTTAAAGATGTATAAGCCCCTAAGGTGACAGTCCCAGCCTGATGCTGTCACACTGAGCTGTGTCATATTGAATTCTGTCACTGAAGAGAAACAAAATGAAATGCACCCAGGTGTAAAATTCCAGGTCTTGTTCATTCTTATCAATACCAGGTTAGAATGGCAGAGTGTAATATTAGGAAATTGATATGATGAAGATTGATGTTTTAACTTTAATGGGTTGGTAGTAAAATGTATCATTTGTATATTCATGTATTCATATACATGCATATACGTGGCAGACAGTGAAAACTATTTCATTTGGACCCATTTTTTTTTTTATTTTAAATATTTTCTTTTGGTAATTAGACTTGGTACCTGTTAAGAAGTGAATGCTCCCTTGTTAACCTTAAAAATAAAACAGCCAGTTATTCTACCAGCATATTGGGTTTATTTGGGAATAGCAGAGTAATTACAATTTGGGTCAGGCAAGCTATGGCAAATCATAGGCGAGTCCAGAGAACAAAGAGAAGACTGATCTTTATAAAGGAAAGGGGACAGTTGGAAGGGGTTGTTATAAACGAGAGTCCATTGGAGCAAACTGGCAGATCCAAGTGTAGTGGCTTCTCAATGGCTGAGATGTGACGGTCTCTCATTGGCTGGGCTATTGCCTGGTAAGGAGAAAACCCTTTTTCCTCCTGTTGGGGCAGTAAAGTAGGCCTCTTCCTATTGGGAATGCAAAGTAGATCTCTTCCTGAGGGGTCTGTAAAGGGCTGCAAGAGAAGGTACATGCGTGAGAGCTCCCCCTGCTGGCCTCCCTCTACATTTCAGTAATGTTTCCTTTATTCAGTTTGACACTATTTTACCCTCGTTTTGAAACCCTATTAATTTGATAGCAACCACATGGTATTTTCATCAAATTTACTGATAAGCCTTTGATTTGAGATGAACTTGTGTGTGTGTGTATTTAGGTACATTTTCTTAGTGTATCCCTCAAAGTGCAGACTATTTTTTGAGACAGCAAGTTGACAAATGAGGCCTTTAGTGTACTGATGAAGCAAAGCAGTCTAGGAGATATGAGGCTTTTATAACGTTTACTAACAAATCACTATCCCTCAATGTCCATGTTCCTCAACAACTGGGGTATACAAGTTCCTGCTAACTTTACCTACCAGACCCAGGTTGAAATGTTTTATTTATTATTTTTGAGATTTACCATCATTCAGTAGAACTGTTTGTTTTCAAGAGTTTTATGGCAGGAAAATATTAAATGACTGTCCTATCTTACTGTCCTTTTCCAGTTTGGTTCTGGCTATGCTTTAAAATCGTAACAATATCCATTGTTCTCTAAAATATTAATAGAAGTGTTACATCTTTAAATTGCACAATAATGACTCTGGCAACACGATGCTTATTAATATTAATACTAGAGTGCTAATGAAAGCAGCTACCATAGGTCAAGTTTTTAAGCACCAGTTCAGATATTTTTTTCTACATTCCCATTTAATCTTCACAGTAATCCTAGAAATTAGACATTATCTCAGTTTTCTTAATGAGGAAACCAAGGCTTAAGGAGTGTAAATCATTTGGCTAAGGTCACACTGTTTGTGAGAAGCTAAACTGAGATTTCTATTTAAGTTTCTAGTCCAAGCTGTACTGCTTTTCTATAATCATATAAATGCCTTTTCTTATCAAATTGCATAATATTACAGTAGATCAGATGGCATGAGAGAGTGACGTGTGTGCATGTGACGGGAAGATAGAGGATACAGGTCTTGGGACCAGAGCAGAGGAACAATTGGGAACCACTGAATTAAACAACAGTAAGAGGGGACTCGTGTTATGAATGAGGCGTGATGCATGTCGGTTTCTCCCACTTTGCAGTTGCTGGTTATCTAGTAACAGTAGTCAAAGTTCAAGAGCAGATTAAGGTCAAATAAAGCAGCAAAATGTTAGCTGTCAGATCTGTTCAGCTCAGTGACGGAAGATGTGAGTTATATTAAAGGGTGGTCCTCCTGGCTCGCAAAACAAAGGTGTGAAGTGGAATTAAAGCTGACCGCCGGGCATCCATCTTTCCTTGTTATTAGGGAAAGGGCATTATTGACAGCAACAAGCCCACCCTACAGTAGAGGGACAGTGTTCAATAGAAGCTTTTACTACTAATACCCAGTTGGCAACACAAAGGGCAAACTTTCCTCAATTTGTTTGCAGCAGAGGGAGAGTGTGTATTTAAGCAGGAAAATCATATGTTTAAAGCATGTGGTTTAGGCTTTCCAAATTTTGATTAAAAATAGTGGTGTTCAGTAAATGTTGGTCCAATGAATAAAACCTAGTCCAGAGATTCCAGGTGCATAATTCTGCTCTGAATCACCATCCCTCAGGGCCTCTCATCCTATAACATCCCTTCAGTTCATTCTGTCATTTATCTACTAGTCTTCCTCATCCAGCTCTGTTCAATTAGCCCCATGGGGCTCACTCTGTGCCAGGCCCTGTGCCATGTGCTGGGCTAGGAGTGGATTCTGCAGAGGCTCTGTCATCTGGAGCTCATCTTCTCAAGGATGAGCTGGCAGTTGAATTATATTCCCCTTGTGGCCCCAGCAATACCCTGGCACACTGTGCATGTATCTCAAAAACCTACCGGGGACTCAGGATTCCTTGTAGCCTTGCCTGAACATACCCCCTGTAATCCTCCTAGTTATTGTGTTCTGGTCTTGCATAGGTAAGGACATGGCTTTGCAACCAGCTAACCGTAGATTTGAATCTCAGTCTGCCACATCCTGAGAGCTCAGTCTTTAGCTATTAACTCCTTTAGGCCTCAGTTTCCTTATCTAAAATGGATAAGAAAATAGGGACATCATGAAAACTAGAAGACAGTACAATTAAATGGCCTTTAAAGGGCACTCAGGTAAGAATGAACTAATTATTTTAGCAGACATTTGCTGAGCATTTGTCATGTGCTAGATCCTCTTCTGGGTGCTTCAACCACAGAGAAGCTTGAGGTGCAGATGGTGTCAGTGTAAGGCTGTAAGTAAGTGTATTAGGGGCGGTATGTCTAAGGAAGTGGCTGCTGAAGGATAGGAAGGGGTAGGCCAGGTCATAAGGTCAGTGAGATGGTTGCTTCTGAGCAAGGAAACAGTGTGATCCATGACCTCCAGACAAGAGTGGGATAGACACTGCCAGGGCACTACCATACCTGTTGTCCTCTGCCATTCCAGTACCAGCTGCTCTGCTGCATTTCTGTGCTGACTTTTCTGGATCTAAGAAAGTACTGATCAGGGTTATTGACACCCTTTGGGAGCAGCCCCCGACCAGTGATTCTGGGAGTTTGTGTGTACCAGTGTACCCAGCTCCTTCAGCCTTTGGGTGGGATGACTCTGAGTATGTTTTACATTGTTTTCTATTTTTGGCATCTGGCTTAATAATGCACTTTTATTGTCTTCCTTCCCTTCCTTGTATTATTTCCTCCCTCCCCTGACAGTGTTTTCTAGCATCTCTCTAGTCAATTTCTTGCTTTGGAATCCTTATTTCAGGGTCTTCCTTAGGGCAGCTCAAAGTCAGACAGGAAGTATTTTCCCAGTTTAATTTCCAAGAAGGTCATGTGTCTGTTTCAAGGTCTTTGACCTTTGTAGACATGTTTCATGTGGCCTGACAAGTCAGCCATCAACTTGTTTTTGAACTCTAGCTTTTAAAGAATCAAACCTTTTAAGTATAAATATATAATCCATCCCAAGACTTAAAGCCTTGCCAGAGGAAATAAATATCTCGAGAAGGCAGGTGAAGCTCCATTGGAGAGAGTGAGCTATAAAATAATTCAGTAAATTATTTTTGTAAAAGGGCATAAAAGATTTTTTCTGCTTTTCCTTTGAGGGTAACTTGTGACCTAAAGAGTTCTAAGTTTATCATCCGCATTTCCAGGATATCTGGACCGAATGGTATTTGTTAATAAAAACAAGAGTGGCTGTCATTGACCGCTCAGTGGCATGTGTCATCTCACACACAGCATGTGTCATCTCACACACAGCATGCCACTTACTTGTTACTATGCCCTCGTCTGAACATGAGACTCAGAGGGATCACAGGAGAGTTTAAACTCAGGTCTTCCTGTCTTGAAAACTCCTGTGCATGTCTCTGTTTCTGCCCTCTGCCTCTTGACAGAGCCCCTTGCTTGAGACTCTATTCTGATCTCTAGACACAAGCCAACAGAGAAACCAAAAGGGGCCCTGGACTTTCACATGGGGCTTTAGAAGCATGAGAAACAGCATGAAAGTCAGACCTGAGCTTCCACACAGTTTGTGGAGAAAAAGAAAGAGCCAGGAACCCCAGCCCGGCACACAGTGGCACTAACTGGTCTACTAAGAGGGACAACACATGGGAAAACAGGCCGGGATCCTGAAATTTAACTTAAAAAACAAAGGGAAGGTCAAAATAAGCATGGTTTTGTTGATGTCTCTACCTTGTTTGAGAGAATATTAGATTGTTGCCATGTTACCACTCTTGCCGATGAGACCAAGTTAGGAATTTGCAGAACTGGAAGTAGAATCTGAGGTCCTTCAACTGCCAAGTTCGGTGCTTGGTAGATGGAGATATATCATCCTCAAGGCTGGAAAGGGAGTGCTGATGAAAATCATCTCCTGTAGCCTGATATCTCTAGTTCCCTTTGCTAACTAAACATCTCTTCCTTTCCCTCTCCCTCCTCCACTCTCCCTCCCTCCCCCCTTCTCTTTAACAAGCTCTTAGTTACCTAAATTATAGAACAAAAGCTTCTTCCTGCTAACCCCTTTGGACTTCAGTTAAAGACATAGTCAAGTGTGTTCCATGCCCTGGTGCCATCAGCATTAAATAGCACATAAGCACTTTCGCAGTGCTTAATGTAAACTTGTTGAAAAATGTACATTATTTTTCATTGACTTTAAATTGGATAAATGCTCATTGAGAAGAATAAAGTGAATTGGTATTCGAGAGAGCATTAAAAGAGAGAGAGAGAGAGAGAGAGAGAGAGAGAAGCACCAATAAAGGCATGTGATTTCTAAATGTAGATACACTGGTTTCTCTCTGCAGCAGTCATTTAGTCTGTACTGTTTGGATGTACCTGAAGACATTGTGCATATTAGTGAAATTAGGTTTGTTAAGCCAGTGTGCTGGAGACACAAGTCTTAGTGAAAAAGCATTGACTTGGGTATCAGACAGTCTTTGCGTTGGCTACTTTCTAGCTGTGTGACCTTGAGCAAGGGACTCTTCCTCTTTTGAGACTCAGTTTTCTCATCTGTAAGACAAGAGACATAATGTCTAGCTCCTGTGGGGGCTGTGAAAATTAGCTGACATAACATATGCATGCATCCTGTAATCTGACAAATAGGAGATGATCAATCACTCTTAGTTCTATTTCCAGGTAAGAAAAGCTGCTGATTTCTCAGTCAGAAGACTGAGCTTTAGGGCTCTGGTGGGGAGAACCTCTTTACCCCGCTCTCTGCTTGCCCCTTGACTAAGCTCAGAGAGGGCGGAGACCATGCCTCCTTTGTTCACTGCTCTGTACTCGATGCCTGGCACATTGCAGATGCACGGCGAAGAGTTGCTAGAAAGAATAATGAGTAACTTGAGGCCGAACCAGCCAATTGCTATTGAAGTCGGACTGCCACGAAACCCCAATTTTGTGGGAGATTTTGATTTTCAGGACTTAGAGGGTCTCTGCCTCTCATTAGATGGTCTGACGAATTTTCCTTTGTGTTGGGTGCTAAGGGACTTTGCCTTTGTGCTTTATGGTAACTAAAGGATG